GCGAGCACTGAACTCAATTCCGGAAACAGCGTTTAAAAAAAGTTTCGATGATTGGATTATTCGGTGGCGTAAGTGTATCGTTTTTGAAGGAGCATACTTTGAAGGTGATAAAATAAATTTAGATGAATAACAAACATTTTGTGTATTATTGACTTTTTCCCGGTACTTTCTTGACAGAGCAGTATAGTAGTTTTCCAATCATAAAGACAGATAAATCATAGCCAAAATATCTAAATATAAGACAGGTCTTAGATGAGATATTTATAAAACATGGCCTAACTAGTTGCCTGAACTGGTTGAGACAGAAACAAAAAAAAGAGCTACATCGGCCGAGCTTACGTCAGATACATAGGCATCGAAATATATTTATCAAACCAGTTACCAAAATTAATATTTGTAGCTATAATTGCATAAGTGTGCGTATGTTTTTCTTTACTATACATGGAGCCAGATAATAGTAGGTATGACTTATGTTAAGAGCGAAACTGTTGCTTTGATGAAAAAAGACAAGTTGGGATATGGTTTATTTATACATTTCACACATATACTAGACACAATTATGTACTCCATACCTTGACTGTTACTTTAGCAGCGGAATAAATTAAAAAAATATTTTTCTTAAAGATGGTTCATTGATATGATATGATAGTAAATTTTCAAAATGGTGTAACAAATACAAATTAGTTCTATTCAGTGTGACTATGCAATTAACTAATTGAATTCAATTGTAAAGCAACAGTCCGTGCTCTGTCTAAGTAAATGTTCAGTGGTGGTACCAAACAGGATATTCTATTTTCTACTATCGCTTAGATAATCGAAGGCCCAACCCTTCCGACTATAATTACATAACTTATACTCCTTTGCTATATTTTTCCAAACCTCAAAAAACTGGAAAAGTACATATGTGCCCTTTCTATTATGTTGCCGTTCCTGCTGTCCATATTGTCCATAGACGTCGATTACTTCCCATTAGGTGATGCGCTTGTTTGACGCTCTACTCTGAATAAGAAGGAAAAAAGCCTTGTCATTCCCCGTTATTACAGATTTAAAACATAACGCTGCTACCCAAAACTGCACAGCGGGTTCTTAACGAAGTTTAGTTTGCTCCTTATTGTATTTCTTATAATTATATTTCATTTCCTGATATTGATAAAGAAAGTTTGTTCTTTAAAAGTGTAGGTAATAAATACTTACTAAATAAAAACCTGTCGTGGTGGCCTGGAGGTTAAGGAGCCCGCTTCTCATGCATGAGGGTGTGGGTTCAAAACCTGGCAATGTGACTTTTTTCGAGTTATATGTACTTTCTATGATTATTTAGACACCACTGACATACGGGAAGGTAAACATCGTGAGGAAACCTGGACTTATAATCTCTAATTATAAGTTTGAAATCGCCAACCCGCATTGAGCAAGCGTGGAGATTAATGCTCTAGCCTTGTCCGTATGAGAAGAGGCATTTGCTCAGCAGTGGGCACTTATAGGCTGATGATGATGAATAAATACTTACGAAATAAAAATTGATTACAAATCATTTTCATTTTTTTAACTTCCTAATCTATGTTGTACTCTCTGTTGTACAGTTGTCTTTATTTGGTTTTAGGTAGATATTGCGTCAGTCCAAGTACTCAAGTACTTTGATGCTAGTGTCAACAGTCCTTATTTATGTACTAGCTTCCGCCCGCGGCTTCGCCCGCGTCAAATTAGTTTTTGTCAATCCTGGTTCCTTATTTGAAAACGGTACCCTCGTACGTAACCCTCTTGCTCATTGCTAAACATAAGCGGGTATTGTAGTGCGTCATAAAACTTGTGTGTGTCGGACACCCTGATCATTGTGTTATCATAGGTTTGAAAAACAATATCGCGCGATGCGAACTGTTCACCACACACCATGGCAGCGACTTCGTTTATTAAGGGTGCATTATAACGTCTTTCATGTTCCCCGCTTGGCGTACGATCGCCGAGTATTACTAATTTGTGATTTTCCCGTGGCATTTTTTCTAAGGCTGTTTTGAAGGTATTAATGAGGAAGAAAACAATGTCCCTCTCATCTCCTTCAATATTTTGCCATTAACGGTCAACCTCGCTCTAGAGGATACGGTGGAGCATACGGTAGCGGTATGCCCTGCCTGGGCTAAGCACCGCCGTATCCTCAGGGAAGTGATCGGCGGCGGCGACCTCTCGCGCCCGGCCTTAGTCGAGGCCATGGTGCGGAGTGAGAGGAACTGGGACGCCGTCTCTGTCGCCGTCCTTTTGTGAAGCAGTCATGCTCGCAAAGAGAGAGGCGGCCCGCGTGAGGGAGCAATCCTCCTCCTCACGCCCCAGCCGCTGCAACTGGCGACACTACGGGCGTCGGGGATCGAGGGACGATCTCCGGCCACCTTAAGCACGGGTGTATAAAGTTTCAAAGGTCGGCGCCAATAGACCCCCACAGACGGGGCCCTAAAGGGCTGATGTTCAGCCGGGGTTGCGGGGTAAGCGCAATGAAGTACCGCGACCTCGGCCCAGAGCAGGAGAAGGAACAGGGGGGTTTTTAGTCAGTAAGAGTCTGACATTCCCTCCCGCTCGGCCCTGGGCGGGAGAAGTTATTTGATGATTTTCCCCTCACAAAAAAAAAACGGTCAACCTCGCTGTTTTCGTCTCCCATAAAATCAATCTGTAGAAATGTTGGTTGATTATTGTTTGTGGAAAGCAAAGAACCAATCCTATGATAAACTTGCCCTTGTACCGTAAATGTGGGTGAAAATCCAGGTATGATGACAGGAAAAATCGCCGAGATTCATTGCTGTCCTTTCTTCTGTCGTTGCTCCTCGGGGTCACCAAGCGTTGGTACTGATACTTTGCTTCCAGAACAGCACATACCTAGGGTCTCTTCCTTCCAATTGAGTGCCTCACAGTGTCTGCATTTATTGGCCATTCTACCTATGAGGACTAATCGATGATTAAAGTAATCAAGTAACGGATCATAATCAAAAGCAGCATCGGCAAATGCCTCCCACGTATTCATCGTAAACGTACGTCTCCTTTCTGCTTGCCGCTCGGCATTAATTAAACGTCGTCTACGTGTTTCTTCGGAGGTCTCTGCGGCTATGTACGAAGCTTGACTCATCATCTAAGATTTGGCGAGCTTGGGTCTGTTGAGAAGTCTCAGCAGCTCTTTGAGCCGCGTGACGCTCGGCATCAATGGCTTGGCGAGCTTAGGTCTGTTGAGAAGTCTCATTCCAGTGATCTATCAAGTTTAGCAGCCCGAGCTCTGCTAAAGCTTTTAGCTAAATCGGACTTTCGTTTGCGAGGCATCGTAGAACAACAAAAATGAAATGAATCGAACAAAACAGATGTACAGATTCAGATTTATTATATTAAAAAAGCTTTGTTCACCCTACCTGCACCTACTTGGATAAGTACTTATTTACAACCAATGCAAAAAACTAGGATGCTATTAGATTAATTGAATAAAAAAAGGAAATAAAAGCTACCTATCTACTTAGAACGTTGTAACTATGAACTAAAAGAAATATTAAGTATGTGCAAAATTTATTTACATGATCTAATTAATAAAAAACACTTAAGAAGTTAGACGAAATAATAAAATAATTTTACTGGTTCGAAAAATGTAATTCTCTAAAGCGCAAATTTCTCTTATCGCACCCGACAACGACCTCTGTCCTCACGCGTCTGTCCGTTCGGGTAGACATAGTTAGATTCGTGCGCTTCCCCACCACACGACAGCGCCGCGCCGCACTTCGGCGAATGTGCGCGACGCCGACGGCAGCGACGGCGATGCAGAGTGTTCATTAAAAGGAATTTATACTTCGAAAGTGGACTATTTTGTAACTTTATACACCCAAAACTTCGAAATTACATGTTCCTAGGTTCAATAGTTAAGATTTCATATACTTACCTACATAAAGGTTGGCTTTGTAGACCCCGTTCCGAATCCGTTCCGGGTCTTATCTTCAATTCATCCCCTATTTCACTACATATCACACTGATAAAATTTTCAAAATGCTAGTACACACGATTTTTTGTTTCTTATGACGTGATATTTGACGAAATTGCATACTAACTTTCAACCCTTACTTCACCCCCTAGCTGGTCGAAATTTCAAAAATGCTAGAACAAATATTTCATATTTTCTTATCAAGTACTTAAATATTAAGTTTTATGGTTTTATCTTTAAAAATTCCGAAATCCCATACAAAATTTTAACCCCTATTTAAAACCCTTTATCCCTGTTTTTCGAAAAAAAAAGTAGCCTATGTTCTGTCTCAGGGTCTAAAGATTGTCTGTACCAAATTTCATTAATATCGGTTGCCAGGTTTAAGCGGGAAAGCGTAACAGACAGACAGACAGACAGACAGACAGAGTTACTTTCGCATTTATAATATTAGTTAGGATGAATGTGTTTTTATTAAAGTGAAGAGCGGTATCAAATATTTCTTTCTTCTCTAGGTAATTTTCCTCAACCATCCTCAATCACCTTTACTGCAAACAAAGAAGTAATTTTAGTTGGCCCTTTTTTACATTGCATTGCACATTTTGATGATGATGAGCAATTGATAAAACGGAGGAAGATCAGAAGGAACAGTTTTTAAAATTAGCTTTTGCTTTTATGTCATTGCTAAGTTAAATGGACAATGGAATCTGGTGCAAACAATCTACGCGGTGCTATGTTCTTTATATCTTTTGTCGACAAAGACACAACAGACCTTCTGTTGTATGCAAATGACGTGATTCCGCAATCATTTTTTTTCGAATTTGGTGTATCACGTGATTGTTTATTTTGAACTTTCTTCGGTTGAAATAACATGTGTTATAGTGTGATGTCATTATCTCCAAAACATAACATTCAAATTGAACGTCGACACTTGAATTTGATGGTACTCATTCATACGAAACTCTCAATAGTATAAGTACTAGAAAAACTTTGTGTGTACTTAAATACATCATCAATGTCGCACAAAACTATTTTGTCACATCCATTAGTTGATGCGCCTTCAGCTCTTTCACTACATAACCGAATTACATCAATTATTTCAAACATATTTTTTTGCAATTAGAATTTTATGCCTTTCAAAATAAGCCTTATTTTTGGGTATTGTTGCATTGTGTTTTGAAGTAGTTAATAATGTTAATACAGATCATTTTATTGTTTTTACTGGTGTGGCTCTTTGTGTTGCGATGGCAGAGAAGAAAGCTGATCGAACTGTCCCATAAGCTTGGTGTTACCAACCACATGACATTGCCATTCGTGGGACACGCTTACATATTCTTTGGAAGTGATGAAGGTAAGTGGTGTTTCAAAAGTTTTGGGTTTGGACCCAATCCAAAATATTCTACATGACTTCCTAAAATATCTGTCTAATTTCTGGTTCAGCAGTTTAGCAAGCGAAGCCCATTCGGCGTAGTTCAAAACAAACAAATGTGCTAAGAATACTGTTGATTATTATTCATCTATACCGTTTACAAGGCTTAATTTGTAAACATATGCCTTATTGTGACGAGATTGAATAAGTGTGAATTAAAATGGTTTTTAATAATAATTATTTTTTACCGAAATGTTGAGGTTCTGCAACTTGAGACTTGATTGTTTGATAGAGAAATTATTGATTTCAAATTTTATTTATGCAATTAGTAACAGTACAATTATGTTTTTTTTTTGTATTTCTTCTTTGAGTAAGCTTAACTGGGATCTTTGTTAACTAGTTCGAGTAGGGGACCTAAAAATATGCCTAGAGACTACTTAAAAAAAAAGTAGAAATATGGTTGAGTCCTACTCAGGGGCAATGGCCGTAGTTTGAATACAACGTTTTGTCAGTTAGGTAATAAGTACAAGTTTAGTCTATAAGACTAATAACTTTAATTTTATTATGGAATTATAGTAAATAAACCTGTATATAAAATTTCAGATCACCCGTTGGCAAATACCATTTCTTAAAATAAATTTGTTGCAATTCTACTTCGCAAATAGCTTCTCAACAAAAATTGATACGGCGGTATTTTTTTTTTTGTAAATAAAATGATTAGTTGAATTCCAAAAGGTGAGGCACATTTTTTAAAAAATTGATTTAGTACCTACTTCTTGCTTATAATAGAATATGAAGGTCATATTCCGAGACTGATAACATTTATAATTTTAAATTGTTATTTTTTATTTTATTTTTATATAATAATAATTTTTGATTTGCCTTCGAAAATTTTGCGTTGTCTGACAAAATCATAAATATCTAATAAAAAATAGTATACCGAGTGTATTCATAAAAGAGAGAAAGAAAGCTTCTCGAAAAAAAGATGTTTGTTTTCAAAATTCGTAATTACTTTCTTACTCATAGAATAGAAGGAGTGAAATATAACTGAAGCCTGGCTTATTTGTTTTTTATAATTACAACATCTTTATGATTTTTATCTATACAACTAGCTACTCTCGCGCGGTTTCACCCGCTGCTCGTTTCATTGTAGCGTGATATTTTATAGCCTATAGCACTCTGGAACATTGTAGCTATATATCAGTGAAAGAATTTTGGCAATCCGACCAGCAGTTCCAAAGATTACCTCCTACAAACTTACAAATACGAATGCATAGGTTCGACCCGAGTGATACCACGGCCATACAGAAAACCGGCGTTAAACAACTACAACGTTTCGAAACCTCTTTCAATCACTGAAACTACATGTTTGATTTGAACAAATCTTTTTGCGTTTGATAGTCTATTTATTGAGGCAGAATATAGGCTACATTAAATAGTCATCTAAACTAATATTATAAATGCGAAAGTAACTCTGTCTGTCTGTCTTTTCTTCACGCCTCAACTACTGAACCGATTTCTGTGAAATTTGGTACAGACATAGTTTGGGACTCTAGTCGAGAAAGGACATAGGATAGTTTATATACCAAAAATCTGTAAGAAATCACTATTCCACGCCAACGGAGTCGCGGGCAAAAGATAGTAGCTAATAAAACATCACTTCATAATCTAAAGGAGCCGAGAAACAGGTGAAAAGGGCACCACAAGAAAATAATTGAACGGTTATAAAGTAGTTGCCTGCATTTTTTTTATTATAAAGCTGAATAATTTGTTTGTTTGAACGCGCTTATCTCAGGAACTACTGGTTCGAATTGAATACTTATTTTAGTGCTTAATAGAACATTTATTAAGGAAGGCTTTAGGCTATAAAACTTTACGCTACGATCTGTAAGAGACGAGCAGCGGGTTAAACCGCGCGAGATTAGCTAGTAGGCTACAAAACATCAGGATTTCAATCTTTTAGAGTCGACAAGCAGGAGAAATAACGTGGGAGGGGAGAAGCTAGTTACTAATACATGCTAAGAATTTAAAATTCAAAAAGCTTTTGCCTGGATCAATATTAAAGTTCTTTATCTATGTCTTACATACTACCTAACTTAATGTGTTTTTTTCCAGATCGAATGACGAAATTCCAGAAATTGGGCCGAGAAGCGATCGCGAGTAAGCATGGAATCACGACAATATGGCAAGGGCATCGACTCTATTTAGGTAGGTATAAAACATAACATGTATATTATATAATCAAAGTAACACGTAAATTTTGTTGAAGACCGAGACCTCTAAAAAACAAAATAATTTTAATTAATCTTGTTCAAGGTTGTTAACTAAGTATTTCCACGTTGAACTATACTAAGGTCGGCTATGTAGTACACATTAAAGTGGCTATCATCACCCATAAAATTAGGTACATAAGTATTTACAGTATCACGGTCTTCCACTGACATTACAACATATGTGTTTGTATAACGGCATTTTTACCGTGTATTTTGTTTGTTTGATTTTTGACGTTGAGTTTCTAATGTCTCTCTCTCTCTCTCTGGGTTTTTTAGCTTTATCGATGTCTTGAGTAATATTAATTAATTATAAATTGATAAAAATAAACACGTGATGAAATAAAACGCCTACAGTAAAAAATAAACACGTGATATGTATTATGTATATGTCATGAGGAGCACGGGGAAAATGGCAATGTATGTCCCAAATTAATTTGAATTTTAAAATTGGAATACTTTCCATAATGTTTATATTTTTTTACGTTATAAAGAACTAGATTATTCATTAAGATAAAAGAATGCATTCATTTTTTTTTTATAATTAACTAAGTAAGATTTAAGTATGAACCACGCAATTTTTATGCATAGAGTTAGTATAAAATATTTCTGCCATTGTTCTTCTATTTGATTCTCACGTAAAACGGAATATTTTTATCACAGTCTTTGAAATTATATAGACGTCTGAGGTTGACTTCTAGACAGGGCAATCATGTAAGAGGGGAGAGAGAGGGGCGGTAGCGGCCTATTGTGAACAAAAAACTTAACAATGTTAGCAACACGAAATGCAAAACTCAGGGCTACCGCTTATTTGTTATTGTTTTTTATGTGACACGGCGGCTAATGAGAAGTATTATTTTCTGACGGTAAGCAATCGGTGCTGTCCATGGACAATACATAAAGAGTTAGACAACACACGTCCGTTGACGGCCTTTTGGGGATTAAGACATGTATTTTTGTTTATATCTAATGAAAATACTTTCAAAAAAATCAAAATGGCACTAACTTTCAAAACTTTTTACAACTTATTTGTACTCAGTGACAAAATAGAACGATTGGTTATATTTGACCCATTTAGACTGAATAATAATTTCTTAAATATTCTTTACTTTGTGACAGCCCTGACTATAGTAAACTGTCAAATCAAAGGCGATCTGCGATTTTTTATGATGCTGTGACTAGTGATTCAAAAATCCTAACAAACTTATAACTCCTCGTATGTTCATTTTGCGTCGTGGGTTACAAAATAGGGTAAATTTGTCTCAAAAAAGTTGTGTTATGTTAATTTATAAAAAAATGTACATAAGTTGTTTCATTTGGAAAAAATTTTTAGTTACATTAATGAGTCAACTCCCGCCCTTTTTTGTAATGCTCCCTGATAAACTGTTAAGGTGTCCTAAATTTTTTAATCCTTAGGTTTATACCCTGTTCCTATTTCTATGTTATGACTGTAATTTTTTCGGTATATTGCAGTCGAACCATAACTTGTATTTCATTATCTTTTTGCTATTTCCAGTGGTCTCAGATGCAGTAGTTGCGGAGCTACTTCTAAAGACTTGCTTAGAGAAAGATGATGCAGTTGATTGTTTGAGGTTCGTGACTGGCAATGGCAGTATCTTTGCTCCAGGTATGTATATTATCTTATCACCCATGACATTATGATCCATATGCTTTTTTTTGGTGACAGTACCTAATCATCAAAATATTGGCTTTCAAGCCCTGGGTACGGTGCGATGGTGTGTCAAACAAGATCCACTGCTTATAAATACGCGACTATCAAGGCCTTGCCAGGCCATTATTTAAATAACTTGGAAGGCTTGACGTTTCAGTATTTAAATAATTATTTTCCACTTTAATATCCGCGTAATTATAATAATATGTTGTTAGTATAAAACGCGAAAGTTTAAAAGTTAGAGTAAAGATCCACTCCATTCATTCTGTGGTTCCGGGCCACGGTGCGTCATAGCTTTAAGCTATGCTTCGCTTTACCGTGCCCGGAATTCCGACTGCAAGTACCTACCTATTTTTTTTGTCTTATATGTAATTACTTATAGGTAAATAGAGAGGAGGTGGAACGCATATGTTCAGGTTTTTACTAATTAATTAGGTTACATTGAGTGGGAAAATCATTTAAATACTCTCTCGCCTCGTGTGACCGGAGTGATACCACGGCGTCACAGATAACCGGCGTGAAACAATCACAGCGTTATGTTTCGCCGTGTGAGTGAGGTTACCGAAGGCCCAGTCGTTTCTCTCTCCCAATTCCTAAATTTCCAAATCCCTAAAAGGTCGGCAACGCATTCGTAACTTCTCTGTTGTGGCGGGTGTCAATGGGCAGCGCTGATTGCTTACCATCAGGTAAGGCGTAATCTCGTTTGCCGACGTATCACATAAAAAAATATTAAAGAAAAAAAAAATAAAGTTTCCTAAATAGAAACCGGATTAAAACTGGTCACTTGTCCTTCAAATGGCCACTTAGAGAATAATAATAATAAATGAAAAAAATATTTCTAAGAATTTATCGATATCCGACACCAAATAAATAAATAAATAAATAAGTTGTAAATCTGTTTTTCTAATCTCATTCGTTTCATTTATCGCGTGTACTATATTGATATTGTGGCATGGTTGCGCGGGTTCGATTCCCGTACGTTTGTGAAATGGTATGTTTTTTATTTTTTTTTAAATACTTTGCCCCACATTAGGATGTTCTCCTGTGTCGTGGGTGCGGTTACAAACATACAATTTCACATACACATGACACCCATGTTTTTATTGTAAAGGTTTTTCGACAGTATATCTTTGTAATAAAGATGTTATGGTCTTCTGCAGTCAGTATTTGGCGTCCTCGTCGAAAAGTATTGGCTCCAACCTTCAGTCCAAAGAACTTGCAGCAGTTTGCTGAAATCTTCTCTCGGCAGAGCTCCATTATGGTAGAGCAGTTGCAGGCTGCTGTAGGAAAAGGAGCCTTCTCTATCTGGCAATACATTACGACGTATACCATGGATTCTGTATGTGGTAAGGAAATCATAAATATGGCTTAAATTAAGGTGATTTTGCCTTGAAACCTAATGCAAATAAAAGATAGAGTAGATCTTAAACACATAACTCGCTTTTGGCCGTGATACAGCCCATTACGTGAGTCCGAATTAATTTTTTGATGTATTGGGCAATCCGAATGATATTATATAATTATTATGTAAAGAAATGTTTTTTTGTAGCAAATTAATAATTCTCAGAACAACCATTTAATTTTCTTAGATTAAATGTTTCATGATTTAGTTATGTTGTTGTGTTTTTCAGAAACAACTCTAGGCGTTTTAGTAAATTCTCAGAAACAATCGGAACAACCATTTCTGAAAGCTTTCGATAAATGTACTCAATTGGATGCTGACCGACTTTGCAAGCCATGGTTCCATCCTCCAGCTATATACGAAATGACACCAGCTTACAAACTACATTTAAAATGCAGAAACTATATTTGTAAATTCGTTGATCAGGTAAGAATAAAACCATTTTACATACATTTATTTTCGTAACAGACATTAATAATGTAAATATCCTAATGTTTTAGATTATAAAAACCAAAAAAGAAACTTTGGCAGAAGAAAAGGTGTCAATGGCCGAATCTGAACAAAGTAAGTTGTATTCTGATTCCTTAAGGTTTTATTTTGTCAAAGACGATGATGCTCCAGTCCAAGGCCTGTACTGAAGGTGAAGGTGAGGTAGCCGGACTTAAATCCGTATGCGGTGTCTGGTCTTATGCGTTGCGCCACTAGGTACCGCGCTCAAACCCTGTAGTGTTCCGCGAACAGCAGGCTGTCAACCTCGCTTAGTCTGTCAGTGGTTTGTGCCTATACCTCACAGCCCATCATCATTAGGGTAAAAACAAGGGGAGGCTCACGAAGCGTCGTGGAATAATCGCGGTTACCAGGTCTCTAGGGATCTTTTCCATATTGTCCCACAGAACCCTTAACTTACTTTTTTTTATACCGGGGTTGCGGGTTTTGTGAACTTACATGCCGCTTTACGACTTGAAGCAGGATATTGAGCGATGTGATGATTTTTAAACACTCCTTCTAGCCCTACCCCTAGTCTGACTGTCACTGTCTTTTGACTTTTGATTTTTATTTGCAGACATAAAACTCGATGGTCTGAAGACATTCTTGGAGCTACTAATAGATTCTTCTGGAGGTGACCGAGGGTACTCAGATGTGGAGTTAAGAGAAGAAACTTTAGTATTGGTCTTAGCTGGAACCGACACCTCTGCAGTAGGCACCGCTTTCACTTCAGTTTTACTATCAAGATATCCTGATGTACAGGAAAAAGTTTACCAAGAGTAAATACTTTTCCCAGTTAATGCTTCTGTATTTTGCTACTGTCATCATCATTATCACCATCATCATCAGGCTTCCGTCCACTGGTCGACAAAGGCTTGTCAAATAACACGCCTCCGAAATCGATCTTCAGCAATTATCATTTCTTAACCAATCACTGACACTAATACTACTTTGTAGATATCGTTACCCCATAATTTTTTTGCTTACCTATGTATAGTGAGGTGATTTAAATAATAGAGAAGCAGCTACATATTGCTACATATTACATCTTTTTACCGTTTCATTGATTTTACAAACTGACCTTTCCCTACACTAAAGCCATCTGTTTATTAAAAGAAATGGTAGCCTTCATTGTCATTTATTTTAAATTGGTCAATGGAAGATGTGAGTTTTTAAGACAGTATTGTGTTTTAGGTTGCTTGAGGTATTCGGAAATTCCAAAAGACCAGTTGTAGCCGAAGATCTTCCTAGACTTAAGTATCTGGATGCTGTTATAAGAGAAACGTTACGTTTGTACCCTCCAGTGCCTATAATTGCGAGGAAGATCGACAAGGAAATTACACTACGTAAGTTAATATTTTGAATCCTTAGATTCCTATGTAGTATACAAATTTTGATGACTTGGACCTGTTTCAAAATATTAATTTATAGAAAAAATTACTAATGTATCGAGTGAGTGTGGGCTTTTTTGGCCCCTTTGTGATTTGAAATTAGTAGAACTTTTCTTAGTGACTTCACCTGAGAAGTTACTATATACTGGATATAGATTTGTATCATCAACATAATATTTGCCTTATAAATTATCCGGGAACTTATTTGAAGGTGGTGAAGCAGGCTGTTTATTACATAAAAAATTCTTGATAATAAAACAGTCATAGTATTTTCATTATTTTTTTTTTAAATTGGCAAATTTATCATTTTCTGAATTAAAAATTAAAAAACTGAAACAAATATTATTATTGCAGCGTCAGGAATCACTTTAATAGAAAATTGTGGAGTTGTTATCAATATCTGGGCGCTACATCGTAATCACCATTACTGGGGAGACGACGCAGAGCAGTTCCGACCTGAGCGGTTCATTGACACGCCACTCAAGCATCCCGCTGCATTCATGCCCTTTAGCCACGGACCGAGAGCTTGTATTGGTAAGGATACTTTTTTAACTTTTTTATGTAATAGGTCGGCAAACGAGCAGACGCATTACCTGATGGTAAGCAATCAGCGCCGCCCATGGTCACGCGTAATTTAGAAGTTAAGAGTGCGTTGCCGACCTTTTAGGGATTAGGGATTTGGAGATTTAGGGATTGAGGAGGGTTGAGGGAGGGGAAAGATTGGGGCTCCGGTAACCTCACTCACACAGCGAAACACAACGCTGTGGTTGTTTCACGCCGGTTTTCTGTGAGGCCGTGGTATCACTCCGGTAGAGCCGAAGCATGGCTCTCCCACACAGGTTAAGCATTAAGGCATTTTAATTTCTGGTTACTTATTTTATGTTATAAGTAGAAACTATTTACAAATGAAGACATAAGGAAAAAACTTTTTCCAATGACGACTTGCGCTGGAAAAACTATGAATTTTAGGTGTCTGATTTTTATTCAATTACAGTGACCATTATTTTGATATTCCATTTATTTTAAGTAGACATCTTCAGCTCTAAGGGGCCGGCTCTACAAAACTGATACAACGGCGTCATAGAAAGCCGGTGAGAAACAACAGCATTGTGAGTGATGTTACCAGAAGCCCAACATTTACTCTTCCCTCCCTGCCATATACTCAATCTTGACATCCCTAATCCTTATAAGACAGGAAACGCACTTATAAGATCTCTGGTGTTCATAGGCATCGACGAACAACAATCAGGTTATCAGCTTCTAGTTTCAAAAAATCATAAGAAAACAAAAATTGTTGCAGGTTATCAATATGCAATGATGTCAATGAAAACTGCCCTGTCATCTCTGCTCCGTCAATATACGATTCTCCCGCCATCTGACGTCGAAGACTTGAAGCCTTTAAGACTGAAATTTGACATAATGATGAGAGATGTTGATAATTTTATCATACAACTTGTAAAAAGAAATTGAATTAAGTAATAATTTTAACGGGTCCCAGAAACTAATTTATTTTTTGCCTATAGTATTAAGGTAGTATTTAGGTATATTTTTTAAGTATTCTAAGTGTTTTTGGGGTTAAACATATTTATATAAAGGTTTTGTTAAGCATAGATAATTTTGGCTGTATGTTCTATGATGATTTTTACTTGATTGCCTTTAAGTTTTCGCTGTTTTATCTGTGAAAGTGGGTTTTATGTATTGTCGAACTAAAAACATAACATAATTATGTTTTATTTGTAAGTTGATACAACTTTATGTTAAAATAAAATTCCGTGCATTACTTTTATCTTTTTTTTGGTTATTTTTACAAGCTTTTATTTAACCTTAAGTGTTACTTTACTTTATTATACTTTTTACTTTATGAAATTTACTTATTTTAAAATTAATTATTTCACGAGCACGTTTCTAAACTCGGCAGACTGAATAATAATTGTCAATGTCATACCTTGTTAGGTAACGTTCACACACTCAATTCTAAGGCTGCGTTCACAACATAATTGCATTCACAACATTATTTTACCTTACCCTTTCGCTCTAACAATTTATGTACTACGTATAGTTTGCATGACCATAATACATGCATGCAAACCTATATAAATTTACTCTTAATCCATTGAATTATGCATTTTTACTTACTTTTGCTTTATTGCAACGACCATACGAGTATATTATTCTCCCCGCATCACCCGAAGGTTGGCTAGCGAGAATGCTTGTTGACATCAAGCCCTATGTTCTTTGGATATAAAGTTTATTCTAAATAGAATACTATTCTAATCTGCATATACGATAGTTGGCAGCATTTAGAATTAAAAATTTTGTTATATTTTATGTTTCCCTAATTATTGGTTATTTCCATGGTATTATGATATTTACACGGTATAACTAAATATTGACTTGTTTTTTATTTTTAAAGGAAGAATACATTCTCACATCGAACACACTTGTTTTTTTCTTTGCTTAGAACCTATTGTTAACAGTTCTCGTAATGGATCTTGATGCGGTTTTTTGAATAGATAGAGTGATTGAAGAGAAAGGTTTATATGTATAATAAAATCCATTAAATAGTAAAATAAATAGAATTGCACCCGTGCGAAGCCGGGCGGGCCGCTGGTACCTAAGAAAAATATTTATTTCACAAAGTAGAGATAAAAAGGATTATAAACATTTTATAATAATTTATTAAAAAAAATATAAAGATACCATTATACGGAAAAACGTATTGTTTAACAAGTATTCCTTAGAGTTTTTTTTATGAGGGCCGATCTTCTTGAAATTTTTTGTCTCGCCATTGTTGAGGCGAGAGAAAGAATTAGAATGTTACTGGCTAAAAGCCATCCCTATGCACAGTTGTTGACCGCCAACCATCTATGTGTGTGAAATGTTTTCGCGTAGAACAATGGCGAAAACATGCGACGGCGATCCAACCGAAAAAATCCTCAGAACACTCCCCGTGATATACCTATGCAATACGCAGTGCTCAAGAGTGCAGCCGATCCGAGATCACAGGGCAGTCAACGATTCGAACAGCTCGTCACTGAATGTGGTCCAGAGGGAGAAGGGAACCTTTTAAAAATCCTCGTAGTTACTGTAAATAATGTCTACTAGTACGTTTATAGATTTTTGAAATATTGACTATGAAGAAGTTAACTAGATAAAAGCTTTGAACAATTGTCGCTTAAATCGTAAAATTTTCAAGTCATCTTTCATTACTATACATACATAGGTTCTTTGGAAATGTCAGAATAGAGTTAGTCAGTCAGTCTCTTCGTTAGTAAAGCTAGATGCTAATTCTAAATTCTAAAATGTAGATTCGAATGGAAAAGAACGACCTAGAACTAAACTGTTACTCTTATTAGAAAATTTGATGTATAATATTAATTATACATCAAATTAGGTAAAATAATAGTCTTCGTAACAACAGAACCGTTGTCAGTAGCTTACATTATAGGTGTGCGAGCCAGAGGCCAAAAGCCCGTTACAAAAAAATTGAGCTATGTCCATAATTATCAATAAAAAAATAAATCCTATTAATTCTTCTAAAAACAAAAATAATATATAAATTTATTTACAATACGTCAGAAGGTAATATTAAAAAATATTATTATATTATTAAAATTTCGTGTCATTTTTGAAACTTTTCCACTTATTTAGTATGCACTATTGTGTCTGTAATGTTACAAACAGATGCAGAATAGAATAATTATTATTAACGAATATACTACGTATGTGAGCCGATTCAATATCATAATAAAATAACTCGTTGCCCTTGAAAAATTAAATAGAAGGCGTTGTATACAATTTTGTTGGGATGCATTTAAGTTATTGGTCTCAAAATATCTATTATAACAAAGGGCAAAAATTCCAAATTGGTCATAATTATATTACTCACTCACATATATAACCTCATTTTTGTATCAAATTTGTAATCAAAAGTATGCTTTCCTATGTAACAATATTCGGTCATAGACGATTTTAAAAATATACGCTACGGAAAATTTTCATTTTTTGTGCGCACTCGGTTAAGGTCGACGTCACAGAAATGAAAACACGATTGTTTTTTAGTTATTTAGGCGGGTATTAAGTAGACGTGTAGTGGTGTGGTCAGTTTCAATCAAGCGGGGTTGAGATTTACAAATAAATATAAATCATTATATTTTTGTAGCTGTAAGAGGTAGCTTTAGGACTATAAACGTACAGCAAGTAGAAATCTTGCTTCTTTTCAATAGTGAATTAAAAATTTAACAAAATGTTGATCGAATTAATATTGTTGGTGGTCATACTGCTGATGGTACACCAACGTTGGACAAAAAGAGACATCTACAAGCTGGGGGAGCAATTGAATTCTGGAATAAGGTCGTTCCCGCTTATTGGACACAGTTATTTGTTCTTCGGTGATAGTGTGGGTAAGTGTAGAATAGTTATATTACACATTATTTTACGTGATTGGAGGGCAAACGAGGGGCACCCGTAACAACGAAGGAGTGCGTTGCCGGCCTATATGAGATAACGGTTGTAGATATATATTGATTGGGGATGTACGGGGAGAGGGAAGGGATTGAGCCTTCAGTAATCTCACTCACACGGCGAAACTCAATGCTCTGGTTGTTTCACGCTGTTTTTTGTTAAGCCGTATCACACCGGTGGAGCTGACCCATTTATCCATTGAAATACAATACAAGTGTTATTTTGCGTTTGTGTTCTTTGTGGTGGTCGTATCCGTCCCAAAACATGGCTTTCCCACACTCTGAGAAGACATCCCCTGCCAGCCCTCACCTGTTATAACTAGGCAACCGACTGGCTTCGAGTAAATTTCTACACGGAACAAATCTGTGTGATCCATAAAAAGTCTGTGATAGAAAAACTTAGGGTGTGGCCCACTATTTTTTGTTATACAAATAGATTTATCAACGCCTTCAAACGGTACTCTTAAAAATCAAAGTCAAAGTACCTTTTTATTCCACGTATAATATAGAGGACTGAAACTGTAATACGACCTTGTATTTCACTGAAGTGTAAAATTTTATACATACTAATAATATTTACGTCTATTTCAGCACGAATGAAAGCCTTTCAAGTTTTGGGTTTGGATGCATTGAAAAAGGAAAATGGTTTAACATCGCTGTGGCTTGCAAATCGACTGTATACTAGTAAGTTTTCAGTCTTTTCGAACTGAAAGGGATTTTTTACAATAGTCATTTCACACAGCGACATCATGTTACAGTTGTCGCTGATCCTGAAGCAGCAGACACTATACTGAAGAGCATTTCAGAAAAAGACGACATCATTAGAATGGCTTCAGTTTTCATTGGAAATGGTTCTATATTTGCTCCAGGTAAAAACTTTGGTGGATATTAATGCAAACTTAGCCTGAGAGAATCATTCACAATGATATTAATTACTATTACTTTGATATTTCAGTTTCAATTTGGCGTCCACGGCGAAAAGTTTTAGTACCAACGTTCAGTACAAAGAATTTGAAATATTTTATGACGATATTCGCAAGTGAAAGCGATATTCTAGTAAAAGAAATAGGAAGAGCAGCTGGAAATGCTCCAATTTCAATATTTAAGTACTTCACTGCTTTCACGATGGATGCTATTGCGCGTGAGTTGTTGAAGATACCAACTTACATATGTGGTGCTAACATAGTTAACTAATTATTGTTTAATTTGTAGGAACAACGATGGGTTACAAAATGAACGCCCAAAAAGACTCGAGTCATTTCTTCCTGAAAGGATTTGATATGGGACTTGATAGCTTTGCAGAGCGCATTTGTCAGCCATGGCTACACAGTGACGCAATATACAAAAATCTTCCCTTGTACTCTAGACTGATGAAACACAAGAAAGAAATGTGGGACTTTATGACTGAGGTAAAATTAGGACAATTTTTTATTTACTTTATGTCTCTTCAAGTTGGTACACAACAACACTTCTTTAATTACCATGTTTAAAAAAATGAGCCCTTTTCTTGGTCTTTGTATGAGTGGGCCAATATCGCTAATGCTAATGCCAAATGTTTTATGATTTCAGTTGATAAGAAATAAACGGAGAGAGATCAAAGATAAAAATCTGACACAGGAACAGTATGAAAGTAAGTTTAAATCGGTTTTGAATATTTGAAAATATTTATTAAGGTTTTGAAGATAATATAAACTTCTTTCCTAAATAAAGCACAGGCTGTCGGACTTTTTGTTATTGACACAATTTATTTTTTAAACTTTACCTCTTTTAAAGTGAAGGTCACTTAGGTATTTTATATTGTTTTAATTACATCAAATTATATCAATTTATAGTGGTATCAGATTATTAGCTTAATACGTTTATTACGTGAGGTGTTCTAGGTAGTCAAATAAAATCGTTCCAATAACACTTATAGTATAGAAGGGTCTGGTTATTTTTCTTGCAGGAAACTATGTAAAATTGGGAGGACACTGAACTTTGAGAAAAAAACTTTTTTATGTGATAAGTACATCAGCAACCGAGCAGACGGATTATCTGATGGTAATCAATCGGCGTCGCCCATGGACACCCGTAAAACCAGAGTAGTTACAAATGCGTTGCCGGCCTTTTGGGGAAAAGGGGCTTTCGGGATTTATGGGTTGGGCAGGGAGGGGTGGGCGAAGGATTAGACTTCCAGTAACCTCAAATAAACGGCGAAACACAATACTGTGGTTATTTCACGCTAGTTTTCTGTAAGGCCGTGGTGTCACTCTGGTTGAGCCGACCCATTCGTGCCGAAGCATGGCTCTCCCACATTTAATAAGTTATCGCATTCGTCCGAACTTACAGAGCAGCGAAGTAGCGCTTGATAGTTTAGTACGAGTGATTCTATAAACGTCGCGACGTAAAGAACCGAATAAGTATTGAATAATTAAATTTAAATTACCAATGTATATTAAATATTTTTTATTATATTAAATGCCTTCACATTATTACATTATACATTACACATAATCTAACAAAAAGGCAATTCATAAGTATTTGCTTTAGATGCTTGTAAATGGTAATAATTTTATGTCAACCTCTGAATGGAGTTTGGTGAAGGTTGATAAATTTAATAATGATGGGAATATCTTTGACTCCAGATTCTTCAGAATACAACCAAACGACGTTTTTGGAGAGTCTGATGAGATTGTCTGGTGGTGACGACGGTTACACGGATGATGAAATAGTAGAGGAGCTACTGGTGATCATGGTAGCTGGTACTGACACATCAGCAGTTGGAGCTTCTTTCGTATCTGTAGTTCTCTCCAGATACCCTGAAATACAGAAAAAAGTTTTTAAAGAGTGAGTTCTGAATCCAGATCAGTATATTATAGTTTATTGAATTATTGAGGAAGGTGACGCTGATAATTACAAAAACAAAACAAGAACATTTGATTATTATGCATTTTATATGCCTTAATCCATCTATCTATAATTTATAAGAATAAATTTGCATATGCAAATGCATTTGTAGATTAAAATTATTTTTTTAATGCTATCGTCATAGATCATGCACGTGCGACTACTATCTACTGCCTGCTAACCGACCTGTTTTGGGCATAATTTCGCAGGCATGTAATTATAAAAACGTGACCACGTATTGAAACTAATTATTTAAATTTATTCCAACAGGTTACAAGAAGTATTCGGTGACTCTGACCGGCAAGCAACCTTCGAGGATATACCTCGGCTGAAGTACCTTGAAGCAGTGATCAAGGAAACACTTCGACTGTACGCACCAGTACCGGTGATGACCAGAAAAGTAGAAAAAGATCTTTATTTGCGTAAGTATTTTTGACAAAGCTTTGAATTATTTAGCTTGTTTATCAATACGTCTAAGTTACTTAGAGCTAATGCGTGTACCTAGGATATTTTGTCAATCAATTTTTATTTATGTTTGAGATTTTTAACCCAGTTAATGGAAATTGTATGTGTGAACATAAGCCCAAAATGCAAATCGTTACTGCCAAGTAACCTTGACAATATTTAATTTGTAAGAGATACGGTATCGGAATGTATTTTCCAAAATATCAAGGCTAAAAGCAGACGAAACCGCCGACTGTTAATTATAATAATACGTGCATACATTAAATTTACAAAATTAGAATTTATTGAGACTTTTTTCTGTTCCGCTTTCATTAGTTGCTCCAATTATTGTAAGTTCGTTTCCGTTCACGGGATCACAGGATCCCGGACCTTTGGAAGGCATACGAGGGGCCGAATCCAACTCGCAGAGGCCCGTTGAACAACTTTAATTTAAGTGAAATGAGACATCAGCCGGCAATTATCCGGGCATTAATGGGCCCCGGAAACGGCCGCTAGCATGTAGCGACACAGGGGCAACATACGTTGAGCTGCTTGGGGAAGGAGAGGCATCCCACGGCTATCAGAGTAATCCCGGAAGTACGGTCAAGACCCCTACCAGCACCTTACTGAGCTACATCCTTCCCCCGAGTCTCCTTCAACTCCTACTCTTGCGAATATCCACTCAAGCCAGCCAATTAAGGCAAGAATGAGGTAGGAGGGCTTGTTCCTCATCAGTGTTCACTCCAGCTCGTCACGAGGACTAACCGGAGATGAAGAACAAGACACCTCCCGGGAGTCAGGTCCGTGGGGTCGCCACTGCCCAACAGCTCGCCACAAGCTGCCTTGCGGAAACAATTATTGTTATTATTATAATCGGTGACTATCAAGAAAGTGAGATTGAGAAATAGAGTTTAAGTTATGTTAAAATTTTCTTGGAGCAATCCAGATTACAAACAAAACAGACCAGTATTTATGCACTACATATTCAATTTCTCCAAAAACAATTAAGTACTACAGTTTCTTTGTTTTCTCAAAATCAATGATGAGCCCAGTTATTAATAGTACTTATAATTTGCTAAATCTATAGATTCAATTAATACTACCATATGATAATGGCGAACACTTTTGTCAATTTTTCAGCCTCTGGTATCAAGCTGGTGCCTGGCACCGGTATCATGATAAACATCTGGGCTATGCACCGTAACCCTCGCTACTGGGGAGATGATGTGGAGCAGTTCCGGCCTGAAAGGTTCATTGACACACCGCTCAAACATCCAGCTGTCTACATGCCATTCAGTTATGGACCTAGAAACTGTGTTGGTAAGTTTTACAAGGACACAGAGAGCCGCTGAATGCAGTTTGTTTCCATCAAGCAGACTTGAAAGTCATTAGGACATACCTTTTTTACAAGAGAGAAGGTCATAAAGTATCTCTTGTAGACTAAAAACTACCCCGTTCCTTCTACTGCTCCAAGCCAAGGCCACGAGACATTATTGCGTTTAACTCTGGATGGAGCTATTCACACCATCCCTAGTAGAATCCTGCTTTACCAGCGTGTAATTGAGGCATTTTGTATTGTGCAATTTGAGCATTGTATATATCATTCTCGTTTCAAAACTGGACTTTTGTAGTCTTTTTTTTTATGTAATAGGTCGGCAAACGAGCAGACGGATTACCTGATGGTAAGCAATCAGCGCCGCCCATGAACACTCGCAACGGAGGAGTTACGAGTGCGTTGCCGACCTTTCAGAGATTAGGGATTTGGAGATTTAGGGATTGAGGAGGGATTGGGGAAGGGGAAGGATTGGGCCTCCGGTCTTCAGTCACAAATGGGGACTCTTTGCTGTAGGATGTATATAGACATAATACAAAAATGATTCTACTCAATCAAACAGTTCTTCGAAGGAAAAATAGAACACCAACATTAATGTTAAAACCCACCTCATATATAACCTCTCACACACACAAACACTTACCTACTAACTCAACTATTCACTTTTTTTTACTATATCTAATTCTTAACTATTTTGTTTTTTTTTCTCATTTATGTAATGTGATGTAAATTAAGTAATTTAATATTATTTTATAAGCTAGTAATAGCCCTCTTTGCAACGCTTGAAAAAGGCCGTTAAGCGGTGCCTGTCTTTTTTATTTAAGATCCTTGTACCCACCTTAACATGCAAATAAAGAATTTGAATTTGAATTTGATACACATCGTGTGTCTGATAATGATGTACTTAATTTAAATTTAACATCAAAGATTTTAAAATTTTCACCTAGTTTTGTGTTTATTAAGTGCAAGCCAATTATTAAGAGCACGTAATTTTTATTTACAGGCTACCAATACGCCATGATGTCGATGAAGACGATGCTATCTACAGTACTACGACGTTACAAGTTCCTGCCTGCCACCCAACCTGACAAGAACTCTGAGTTCCCCCCACTGCGCCTTAAATTCGACATTATGATGAAAGATGAAGATGGTTTCCAAGTATGTGTTGAGCCCCGATCAAAACTGGCTTAAACAAAGTATTATTAAGATTAGTAAAACAAGAAATGCTCAATATTTTTATTTTCGTAAATTTTTTAAGAAAGATTCGTTTAAAGTTTTATGCAGCTAGGTATAAAAAGCAATCAATTTATTACGATTTTGGTAACGAGATAAATTGATTGCTTTTTATACCAACTACCGGATTGTGTCTGCGCCATCTAAGGACTAGTAGGAAATGCCTAAAGATTAAGTCCGAACTAGTAAAAGTACATAAAGGGTAAAGACTAATAAAAAAAACAATATAATCTTTACATTCTTTTCGGGCGATACCCTGACCTGATGATGTGGTAACACATGTTGCACCTGGAATAGACCAGCCTCGCCAATTGTAATATCAAGAGATTGGAAATGTAGTATAAATAATTCTAAAAAAGGGATTATTATCGTATCTACAAGTTGTAACTTGTATAACAATCTTTTTTATTTAGATTAATAAAAAAGATTGTAGATACAATTCAAGACGTTCACGTTGTGAGGCGTCGGATCTATAGACTAGTATCATCGGTGTATCGGAGTTTATGATATTATTTAATTCTTTGGTTTCTGGTATGATGAAGAGTTTCGTGGGTAGAAGAGTCGTAAGTTTAGAGGGTTGTAAAGAATGTCTGATCAGTTCCCAAGTCGGGCAAAGCCATTTTTGTAACGTAGTTCCTTCATCCTGTTTTGAACGCTTTTACCAACTACGAACACTTACGTAGGTAAACGGAACACTACACACTGATATCACACATTGATCTAGGTGTACATGCCCCCTAGATCATCATAAAAAAACAATGTGTAGATTACGAGACGTTTTATTAAACCTGCGACACGTTGTGCAATCGTGCCAATTGCTAATTGTGTGGCAAAGGCAAAAATATAAAATAAAATGATTGTAGAATTAGTCTTTTAGTGAATCACTATACGGTGTTAGGGGTATAATAATAGGCTCATCCCTTGTTCCATTGAATTCATACCCCATCGCTAGTGATGTTCCATTGTTTTTAATACATATAAATACATTTAATCGATATACCCTTTTGGTATATAAAATTCGTGACGACGTTGTGTATGACAATTATTTAGTTGTAATGTAATAGATATTATAAAATGTATTACTTCGTGCTGTGTTATTTTTTGTAATAAAAAAATAAAATGAAATAGAAACAAAAATATATTATCATTTAAGATTTAGCGACCCACCCTGCTTAGCGTGTATTCAATTTATTTGGTGGCAGTCATTTCGAGATTTTCATTAATTTATTTTTTATTATTATACCGACAACGAGCAGACTAATCACTACTATCAGGGTAAGCATTCGCCGCATATGCATCGTGGTGGCCCAGAGGTTAAGACCCTTTTTTCATGGATGAGGGTGTGGGTTTTTCAGTGGCACACAGTGAAGGAAATCAAGAATCTTGGTCTATTTATTATTTAATATATAATTACTAATATATTATAAGTTTGAAATCGCCAATCCACCTTGAGCAAGCATGGTGGTTAATGCTCAAACCTTCTCCGTGTGAGAACAGACCTTCGCTCAGCAGTGGGCACTTATGGGATGATGTGATGTGAAACAATCGCTACCTATGGACAGAACACCAGTGGAGCTATGAATGCCTCGTCGACTTTTGATAGGAAATGGAGGAAGGAAGAGGACTTGACCTTCGTAACCTCACTGATGCAACTCAAAGCATGTATGTTGCATGTTAAGCCGGCCAAAGCATAGATTAATCATATTAAATTTTAAGGTTTTAATCCTTTACATAATTATTTTAAGGGTTTAATCTATGCAATGCATACAGGGGAGGTCGTCTGCGTTTGGTCGGAAGACACAGACCCATAATTAATTTAAAAAGAGGGTGGTGGTGACCCTAATCTTAAGTGCTCTCGTAAATGAGCCACACAGCCTTCGAAATCTGACTAGTGCCAATGTGACTTTTTTCCAGTTATATGTACTTACATTCTAAGTTAATTACAGACATACTATGAAGGAAGAAATCGTTAGTTCTAATTATATTTTGGAAATCGCTAATACGCTTTGAGCAAGTCTAGTGTGGTGGTTAATGTTCAAACCTTTTTTGTGGAAGCATCACTTCGTTCACGGAGCAAGTCAGGAATCTTTCTTTTTCCTTTTTTTAAAACAAACGTTGCGGTGTGTTAACAAATATACATTTTCACATGTATACACATCACACCTAGACCCGGAACAACAATCTGTGGATCACACAAAGAGTTGTTTTGTGCGGGAATGGAACCCGCGACACGATGTGCGGCGGCCAGTTGACCAGTCACCGCGCCAATCGTTCGTCCGTTTTCCACTGTCCACATAATTATTCTTGTTTACGCGGGCGATGTTCTGGCCCATTAATATAATGTATGACGAACACACGACACCAGTACTGCGCGCTGCCTCTCCGTATTGGAGAACTTTTGACCTCCGTATTAATGATAATATATGTATGTGTGATGATGTTATATTACAAAAATCCACCATTAGACCATTATCTAATGTCATTTTTTTTATTTCAATCCGCCATAATTTATTCACGTTATCAACTTATCACAGAGACATGAATGAGACGATATGGTCTTGGTATTTAATAATGGCCTTTGTTTCCTACTTAATTAATAAAGAATTTAAAAACATGTTGAAGTTGCTTTATAAGTAGCCTAAAATGAATATGTTCAGAAACAAAACAAAAAAATAATATTGTGATAAAACAAGCTCATGTTAATTTTTTTTTGGCTAGCTTTTTAATCTCCTTGACGTTGGCTTCGATACCCAAGTATCCCAAAGTACCCTTTTACTGGGGTCGAGTAGGAGATCTTGAATTCGATATGGAGCATAAGCAGACAGTTTTTTGTTTTGTTTGCACCCAGTATTATTTTTCAATTGTTATTTTATTAAGACGTTGCAGTGAGTGGTTTTCGCCGTCGAATGTTTCCCTGACGATATGGTTGTGCTGAGCCCAAACAGGGCAAACCACTACCGTATGTTTCACCGTGTCCTCGTAGTGACGTGAACTGGGCTTTTCCTTCCGCTAGATTCATAACAGGTGCTTCTCGAAACTTGCGTGTCAGGTATGGCGTAAAGGTGAGGACGCCATAGCGTGTCCGGTAGGCACTCCTCAAAGATGGGTCTAACCGCTATGATAATAGTGAACACAGCCTTCAGTTGAGACAGTTGTTGCTTTTACTTTGATATGAGATCGCGCTGGGACTCCTCCCGCTATACACTACTCTGCATCGTCATCACCTTTTAAAAATGATCCGGCAAGGAGGTTTGCCGCCTCCTCATAGATCGTCCTGTATCCGCTGATGATGCGTTTGACCAGGACACTTTGGGACGCGACCAGCGCACAAACTGGCCTCATCACACGCCAATTCGGGACAATAATTTGTGGATTACGCCAAGATTATTATCGGCGATAATCGAACCTCGGCACTTTGTCAAGCCAGTTGCCCATCCACCGCACCAATCGCGAAGTCAATATATTACACAGAAGAATTTGCAAAAATAAAAATTATTTAATATATGCATAATGAATAGCTGTAAACACGTAAGTTGCACAAGACAAGGTGACGTTGATAGATCAACCTAAACCAATCTCCATATGGTATATAAGATTTAGGATCTTGTGCATTGGATAAGTAAGTTGAAATTGAATTATAAGAGCAGTTTGATATGAGTACTTATTAATGTTTGCATAATAACTGTTAATAGAGACTTGCCAAATACTTGGCAAGGTACGAATGGGCCTCCAACTGCGGAAAGGTCGTTAACGTTAAGAAATTGATTTAACCTTGAGATAATTGCCATGTATCGTTAATCTATACATAGTAAATCCTATTGAGAAATTAATTTACTGTTCTGTGATATATTTATGTTAGTCTATTTCATTCTACCCATATTCAGGACAAAATATTGAAAGTTTTTTTGATGGGGACAATCATCTCATTACTTCTCCGTTCTTAATTAGGGTGGGGGGTGTACCACCACGTTCTTTATCCTGCTTGCAACCCCGCAACCCCAGCTACAGTAATTGTGTTAAATAACATTTTTTATGGATTGTTTTAAGAAATATGAAAATCAGCGCCGCGAACCCGTCTCGTACGGGGTCGCTGCATTAAGCTGAGCGTGGGCCATTTCGCGTGCTTGGACGCATATTTTTCTCCTACCGTCTACTTTTGTGATATTGTTTTTACCTTGCTCAATGTATTTTTATTTTAACTTTATTTTACTGTCTTGTTCGTTTTTGTGTCTTTTATGCGTCCCAGACGCGAATAAATACTTTTTCTTTCTTTCTTTCTTCTTTCAAATAACGGTTTTGCAAATCTTTCGAGGGTCGTTAACCATTCGCTTCTGATTGACCCACGTTATCCCGTTTCTTCTCAAAAATGAGATCACACAATAAACCTCCATGAATAAAATTGACTATATTTGGAAGGACAACTTTTTTTTACTAGCCGTGTATAATAACCGTGTCCACCAGTCTCGACGATAGGCGTCTAGATCGTCACGCCATCTTTTCCGGAGCTTACCCATCTGCGGTGTCCATCCTGAGGTGTTCACTGGGCGACAATAGTGGCCCATCTCTCCGGATGCATTCGCCTAATGTGTCCAGCCCAGTCCCATTTTGATTTAGCCGCATTTTGGTTTACATCAGCGACTCTTGTTCTGGAACGTATATACGGTATTCCGTATGCAATCGGTCCGTTTTATGCCTAACAGCCTATGTTACATTGCCCTTTGGCAAACCCTGGTCTTCAAACACTCGGCGAGAGACCAAGTTCGTCATCGTATGTTAAGACAGGCAAGATACACAGATACACAGTAGAATGTCGGTCCTTATAGCTTGGAGTTGTCATGCTCACTGAAAGGGCACACTGGCGGTGGCATGGGCGCTGGATCGCTTAATTCCCTATAATATGGTTGAGTTGGGCGATGCTGGTGTACGTGTCATGCTCGTGAACGGGCGCCGTCAGTTGGGACTGGTCAGCTCCAGACTGTCTATTG